ACTGCAGCGGCTACTGCAGAAAATTGCATGGCATTAGATCGCCGATTGCCCCCGGAACTGGGGTCTCGTCGTATAAATTGCATTGCATACCTCGCCGCGCTGCTAATTATGCGACCAGCCCGATCCAATCCAATCCGATCCGATCCGCTGCGGTCTCCGGCCAGCTGCTGGCCTCATAAATATGCATTACAGCATATACTTTCACCTGTCGCCGGACGCGTCATCAATCAACGTCCATTAGGCCGAAGAAATGCACCAGGAAGCGGAAGTGTCGCACAACATACCGTACACAGTCGTGTACGCAGGTGCCACTTAAACATGACGCACGAATCGGGAAAGTCCTGACAGGAAAAGGGGAAGCCTCGGAGCCCAGTTTTTCAGAAGGCCTTAAAACGCAAACATGGAACTTAAGCTGCAAAAATAATTGCAAGGCATAGATAATAGTCCATTCATTTTGTTAAGCTATATAATGGTAATATACGTTTGAAAGACAGTATCATATGGCAACTATCATAGGAGCGATCAAAAATGTATCTAAGTCCATAACTTTTCTTACAGACATCCGATCTCCAAAAGGCATACTTGTAAATAATCGTAGTTTAATTTTCTAAAAATCTATGTTTTTACTTTTGTTTTTATTTTTGGGTCGATTTTTGGTCATTTTGACAATGTAACCCCTTTCCAAATTTTCGGAAAATGGTCTTGCCGAAAATGACCAAAAACCTGCACTTCTAAGCCCATAACTTTTTTTACCGACATCCGATTTTAAAGTGACATACTTCCTAATTATTGTAATTAAATTCTCTAAAAAACTGTATACTCAGTTTGGTTTCTAATTTTGGGTCGATTTTTCATCATTTTTACAGTGTTACCCCTTTCCAAATTCTCGAAAAATGTCTTTGCAGAAAAGTGTCCAAAATCCCCACTTCTAAGCCCATAACTGTTATTACAGACATCCGATTTCAAAGTGGCATAATTCGAAATAATTGTGGTTTAATTCTCTAAAAATCTGTGTTTTCAACTTGATTTGTATTTTTGGGTCGATTTTTGGTCATTTTGACAATGTAACCCCTTTCCAAATTTTCGGAAAATGGCCTTGCCGAAAATGACCAAAAACCTGCACTTCTAAGCCCATAACTTTTGTTACCGTCATCCGATTTCAAAGTGACATACTTCTTAATGATTGTAGTTAAATTCTCTAAAAAACTGTATACTCAGTTTGGTTTCTAATTTTGGGTCGATTTTTCATCATTTTTATAGTGTTACCCCTTTCCAAATTTTCGAAAAATGGCTTTGCAGAAATGTGACCTAAAACCTGCACTTCTAAGCCCATAACTTTTCTTACAGACATCCGATTTCAAAGTGGCATACTTTAAAATGTTTGTGGGTCGATTCTCTAAAAAGCTGTGTTCAAACATTTTTTTGTATTTTGGGGTCGATTTTTCGTCATTTTCCAAATTCTCGAAAAATGTCTTTGCAGAAAAGTGTCCAAAATCCCCACTTCTAAGCCCATAACTGTTATTACAGACATCCGATTTCAAAGTGGCATAATTCGAAATAATTGTGGTTTAATTCTCTAAAAATCTGTGTTTTCAACTTGATTTGTATTTTTGGGTCGATTTTTGGTCATTTTGACAATGTAACCCCTTTCCAAATTTTCGGAAAATGGCCTTGCCGAAAATGACCAAAAACCTGCACTTCTAAGCCCATAACTTTTGTTACCGTCATCCGATTTCAAAGTGACATACTTCTTAATGATTGTAGTTAAATTCTCTAAAAAACTGTATACTCAGTTTGGTTTCTAATTTTGGGTCGATTTTTCATCATTTTTATAGTGTTACCCCTTTCCAAATTTTCGAAAAATGGCTTTGCAGAAATGTGACCTAAAACCTGCACTTCTAAGCCCATAACTTTTCTTACAGACATCCGATTTCAAAGTGGCATACTTTAAAATGTTTGTGGGTCGATTCTCTAAAAAGCTGTGTTCAAACATTTTTTTGTATTTTGGGGTCGATTTTTCGTCATTTTCCAAATTTGCGAAAAATGGCTTTGCAGAAAAGTGTCAAAAAACTGCACTTTTAAGCCCATAACTTTTCTTACAGACATCCGATTTTGAAATGGCATACTTCTAAATGATTGTGGTTTAATTCTCCAAAAATCTGTGTTTTTACTTTTGTTTTTATTTTTGGGCCGATTTTTCGTCATTTTTATTTGAAAAATTTTCTTTACAGAAAAGTGTCAAAAAACTTAGAAGTTTCGACTTTTTTGTGTTTGCATAAGCGATGCAAATTTATACATTTTGCACAATAGATTTGCATTTTAAAGCATTCATAAATTTAGTGTATAGTGAAAGCTGAAATTGCCTAAATCAAGAGCAAAATCAAATATTATAAGATTTTGTGATGGAGCCGAGCCTCCAGTTTTTGTTTATGGCGTCAGCATCTCTTGCTCAATTGTCATGTAGGCATTTTAGCTAAAATCAAACGTAGCATATTTAATATGTCTGCTGGTCATTAAATAACAAACAATCTGGCTCCGGTTCCTTGGGCTTCTCGGGGAGGCAGCCTGTCAACTGCCGCTGCTCCACACCCCCCGAAAACACACACATATTGTATGGTATATAGTAGTCCTGTCAGCGGCAACAACAAATGATAAAATGTTTGCGTCCAGCCAGCGACTTTCTCTTACTTTCATCTCCGGGTGGAGCGGCGAGGGGGAGGCAAACGAAATAATTTAATTTCGCCTGCCATGTTCGCCGCAGGCCGTCGCCCGCTGAATTTGTTTTATTAAAAACTGTACACTATACGCTGGCAAACACACACAGGCGATGGAAATGAAAGAAATGAAATCAAATACTCAAAAATGAGCAAATAAGGCGAAACCAAGGCGGCGACAACATAAAAACAGAAAAAAAATGTACAAAATATGTATGCGATGGAGCTGGGAAATTTTGTAATTTCTTGGGGTAAATCGCGAAACGCTTTGTTTCGCAGATTTTCTTTGACGGTTTGACGGTTATTTAATTTGCTCCCTTCCAAATTGGGACACCAAATCTACGTAATCCCGGGGTCCCCAATAAAATCGAAGGCCGCGGGGGGACTTACAGTTGATGCTAATGCTATAAATGCTCGCCCATCATTTGTCTTCATTCGTCTTCGGCAATTGTCCACCCACCCGAGTTTGGAACGCCACTCGAAATCATTAATTTCAAATATTATCCCCGCCTGGCAGCCCCCACTCCGAATTGTAAATAGTAATACGAACGGCATATTCATAAATACAAAATAACTTCGGTGCCATTTAGCGGCGCATAATTCGCAACAGGCCGCGCTCTTTTTTAAGTGGGGATGGGTGTTGCTACACAGAGAAAAAAAATCATAAAAAATTGTAGTATCTGTGAAATAGGAATATATAATTTCAAAATCTATTAGACTTTTAGTTTGGGGAATAGGAAGATTCTGTGCCTTATTAATTCATTATATGTTAATAAGCCATTTTTTATTTGGATAATGGAGTGAATTATATATAAGCTTGATTAAATCTTTATAATTTTCATATTAGATTACACTAAACTTGATTTAATTTGGTATATTAAAATATATTTATTGGTACTACAAGTATTACTTACAACTAAAAGACCCCACTCACAAACCATTTTGTATTGTATAGTACCTTTTTAGTATGACTTTTTCTCAGAGTGCCCTGTCCTTTTTTCATATTTATCGACGCTGTTCCCAGTTCTTTATTAAGCAAACTAATCATGACCCTTTGCGGCCGACACGTGGCTGGTAAAAGCGAACCCGGGGACGGCAAATAATGTGCGCTCTGATGGCCAGAATGAGCGGCCCAGGATCCCGGACATCAGCTTCGGTATTCGGCATTCCCATAACGCCGAGCATATTCAAGGTTCGCCCAGGCAAATCCTTTAAGTGTCATTCGGTGGGCCGCCCCAGCTTTCGGTTGCATCGTCGTTTGCTCTAGTTTTTCTCGGATGTTTTTCCTCTTTTTTCCCCGAATTTTCCTCTGCCTCTGTCGGCCAGCAGTTGTTTGCTCACTTTTTATGCGTTTGGATTTGCACATTTGGACACTAGTTAATTATGTTCTTAGTCCCTTTTATGTCACAATTTTCATTTGGCAACATCAAATAAACTAAATGTCCGGCAGGGGCTGGGCCGGAAACAGCCTACCGATCCTGATCCCGGGGAAAACTGTCTACCGCAATTGTCGTGGCAAGGTAAACAAATATGCGTATATGGCTGGCCGGCTAACTACATTGGCCATTGGCTGCAGTCCTGATCCCGGGGTGCCAAGGGGGTGGCACTGGGGTGTTTTGGGGTGGAACAAATGTGCCTATTTGTAGCCCGGGTTGGGGTTTTGGCCACCCCCTTTGGTGCGGTTGCCTGCTATAAAATTCTGTGCGGAATGGACATTCGGACTTTTAATATGCTCGAGTAATGTCTGCATTAACAGAATTCATTTGCAGGACATGGCCAGCAGCCAGGACAACCCCATCTCCATTCCTAGACCCACATGTGTGTGTGTGTTTGCACTGTTGGTGTGGAGAAAACAAATTTATGTCGTGCTACTTGCTGAAATTGGATTTCTGGCCGCTGCTCCCCCTGGTTGTTATTGTTGTCGTCACATCGTTGCTTTTTAGTCACCGAAATGAGAGGAAAAACCAAGAAGAAAAACAGAACTTAGCCAAGAAGAGGAGGGAGAGAAGGCGGGGGGCATTTGTTTCCATTCCAGGTTTTAGTACGTGTAATCCTTTTTCATGATTTGCACGCCACTTCAGAGGACATTTGTCGGCCTTGGCATTAGTCTCAGGTTAGTCGTTCGTCCTTTGGCACTCCAGTCGTAATCAAGTTGAATGCCTCAATTAGGGCACTGGCTCTCCCTCGAAATTGGAATGACCTGGCACGTGTTTTTATTTTCATTTCCATCTTTATCTATTTATTGTCTAATTTTAATGGTCCATCGCTCGTCTCTCTCCGTTGCAGAATGGCAAATTGCCCAGGAGCCTTCCCGCTCTGCGTGCCATGGAAATGGCGCTGCGTACCAACTCCTTTGCCACGCCCCCACGCCCCTCAGCGAGGCCCGAAGGAAGCGCACTACTGGACATGGAGGACAGCGACGAGGAAATGGAGTACATGCCGCCACTGCACAGTAAGTACGAGTGCACTGGGAGAAATTATCGGAAAAATTAATTAAGAATTTGGCAAAAGAAAATACCAAAGGAAGATAACTTTAAATAAATCCAGATTTTGACCACTTTTCATAGAATATTCATTCGATTTCTGGTATTTAAAAATATTAATAGGTGCAATAATTAATTTCAGAAATGTTTATTTCCCCATCAGTAAATCTTTAACGAATATTTAGATTTTTATTAAAATAATAATATTATATAAAATATTAATACAATATACATCCTTAAAAAATGTATATAAATAAGGTTTTAATATTTGCTGTTAGAAAAAACTTTAATGTGAGATTGGCCATAGATTTCACTCTAAAATCCACATTGTCACAATCTGTTTCAGAGTGTACGAGTCCCTTTCCCTGTCCAGTGGCAAATTCAATTAAAAATTTTTGAAACTGCTCCACCTGCACGTGCGTGACGAGCTTCTGACGTCCAGCAATGATGGTCGGGAGCAGGAGCACCTGGCCGGGCTGCCATCCTGGCGTTATCCTGCCGTTCCGGCGGTCCATTGGTCCAGTGCTCTGGTCCGTTGTCAGAGCCACTGTCAGGCGTTTCAATTTACTTTTATGTCTCGCAGCCCTATCGCGGCGCAAATTGAAATTAAATCTTGACACAATCAGCATGCCCATGCCACCGGCAGCTCAGATTCCCACATACAATTAAGTTAAACGCTGACCATCAATTATGGGACGGGCTCTAAGGCAGCTGGGTGCCAGCTGGGTTGTGCCCGGCAATGGGCAAAGTTTCCAGGCCCAAAAGTATATGTATATTTTTGCCAAGCAAATAGTCAGGGCAGGGCGGTAAATAGACAAGCAGAAAAAAAAATAAACATAGAATAAAACAGGGGAAAGCCAAGTCAAAGCGACAAAAAATTGTCAACTTTTGCGAAAGTCCCCGCCCTTTTTGCCACCGTTTCCCCGGATGTTTCGCTAAAGATGATATCAAAAACTTTCCTGTGAGCTGCCGGCAAACAAAGCCGTGGCACTGGCAAATGGTCTCGGAATCTCCTCCACTCCCCTGTTTATTTATATTAATATTTTTATCATTTTATGACGACTATACAAATGTGGAAGACTCGTGGCCTGACCACCTTGAGCCAGGATTGCGGCCACAAACTTTTTGGCCCTTACTTAAATTCACTTTATTTAGTCGTTGTGTTGTGTTGTGCAACCATATTATTAATCCGCTGCCAGAGCGCCATTTACATTTCATTTGTGCGTCCCGCCCGTAAATATGATAGAATAATGAATATATAAATCACAGCGAAACTTTTTGCGTCCCGCCTTGTGTGGTTGGTGTTTAGCATATTATGTAATAAATCAATAAAGCGGGATTTATGGGTGGAAGATTCTCCGGCATTCGAGCAACTCTTTTCTTTCCGAGAATTGTTAGGAGAATGTGGTGTAGGTATATTGGACCTACTGATGAGGGCAAATCAGTAATTAGTATTTAAGTACTTGAAAACAAATAATTAATATTTTAATAAAATAGAAAGTAAATTTTATGTTTTAATGACACATCATAGCTAAGTGCGCATTACCATCTTCAAATCAGTTTAATGCTATATAATGTGTTTAAGCTAAATTAAAGTCTCTTTGTTAAATGGCGTTAAGAGGTCTTAAATTCAAGGGGAAATCAGCATCAGCTGGCTTTAGTCAACTCGTCCTTTCGCCTCTTTAAAAACCCCGCGGCAGCAGCTGTAAGTGCGTCGCTTTGCAGCTGTTCCAATTTTTAGTGTAAATAACCCCGGCAGCAGCAGCCTTGTTTTTGTCCCCTGCTTGAGTTTTCGCAGCCCCCATTTCCATTTTCATTTCCACTTTCCACCACGCTTTCCCTCTTCGGCACACTTGTCAATATGAAAATGTTGCTGCTGGGCCGCTGATGTTGCTGGTGGCGCTGCTGCTGCCGCTGCCGTTGCTGTTGCATTTTTTCGCTCACCTGAATGTTTGTTCAGTCAGAAAGTTTTGATTTATTTACGGCGCAAGTTTTACATTTTACACGACACTCGCCTCCAATTACACGCCGCTGCCACTGGCACAACTGCCAGCAACAACCCTTGCAACTGAACTCATTTGCACCTCAGCAACCCTCGGCCTGCAGCCCTAAGAAAAAGTAAAACTGAAATACTTTCCTTCAGATTTTAATCGCTCACGTGAGTCCTGCGCCGCTGCGAGGGATGTGTGTGCAGTTGCTATTTGTGTTTTACATATTTAGTCGCAGGATAATGTGTCGCCAAGTTGCTATCGTAGTTGCTGTTTTACTATTCGCTGCTGCTGCTGCGCTGGTGTTCCTGTTGCTGTTTCCGTCGTCACGGTGGACTTGGCTATTTGCATGATGCATCAGCTGAAGGTCCTGCTAATCAAGCCCACCAGGCGATGCTAAACTCCTGGAATAAGTCAACTCTAATCAAGTGTTCAATTGAACGATCACGGAGATTAATCAGAGAGTGGTGGGATATTGAAATTTTTCCCTTAGGAATTGTTGAATACTAAGCTTAATATTTAAGCCAAGGGTTTTATAATAATTGTTTTGACCAAAAGTTCTGCTCTTTAATATACTTTTGAAGGCAATCTTCTTCACCCTTCTGTCTTTTAAACTATCGTAAGTTATTACCGTACATCTATGATTATTCATAATCATTAACATATACAAAAACTTTCCCTTTCAATTTTTGCTTAATATTTTTTTAGGCAACTTATATGTAAATAAGTTTTAAAGATTTTCATGTTTTCAATCGATTTTCAACATGAAACTTGTATTATAAAGGTTATTTATACATTTTAAGTTATGCGTGCGACAAGTTCTTTACTTCTGGGCTGCATTTCTCCGAGCTTAACCCTTTACTTCCTGAAGGCTTGCATTGCCGTTGCATGCAACGTAACCGATATCTGTTACACCATCAACGTCCTTTCGTCCTGCAAGCAGTGTTTGTGTTTGTGCCTGCCCATGAATATGCAACGCAGAGTTTGCCTCGTTATTCCGCCGTGCGAGTTTGGTGGGGGTATCCGTTTCCGCTTTGCGGGAAATCGATCAGGAGGCCGCTTTGAGATACAGAAAGGAAGATTGTCGCTTCGCCGGCTCATCTCGAAACTACAGTGAGTCTTATAAAACTCAACACTTGATACTAAATCGTTTAATTATAGTGGTGGAGTTTTCTCCATAGCTTAATTTGTTTTATACATTTGTTTTTAAGTAAGCCCTAAATCACTGTTTGTGACTGGGTACAAAAAACCATTCTCTTTTGTTTATTTTTCTCAGAAAGTAGTTATAAGTTATGAGAATAAATATTCAAAAGAATACATATGTATATTTATTTAAAAAGAGTCCTAAAATTTTACTTTAATAATTTTTTTTGTTAAAAAATAATGTGGTTTATAAATGATTATGACGCAAGTATTAATATGAAGAGTCATACAACTTTTCTTCAGTTATGGTTGACCAAGGAAATTTCGAGCTTAGGAAGTTCGCCCGTATTTATCGTCTGAAGTGACCTTGAAGTGCTGCTAGGGAAAAACTCGCAGTGGTCTCCTTGCCTTTTGCCTGACCGAAAACCAAAGCGATTTGCCAGTCAGACTCATCGCGGCCACTTTCCCCTCCACATGGCCGCAAAATGCTGCCCAGACTTTTGGGCCCAACGTCTTCGGAGGTCTGCGTCTAATACGCTTTCGGCGCAGAGTAACAGTTGCTAAAATGTTTCCCATTGTTTTCACGCTCAACAAAAGGCAGACAATTAGTTTTCTTAAACGACAAATCAAGTAGAAATTAAGTGGTGGCGGGCAAGGGCAAAAGCTGCCGCAACGAGTTGAGTTCTGCGGGTGGTTGGGTGGCAAAATGGTTGGATGGGTGGTTCAGTGGGTGGATTGGGTGAGTGGCTGGAGAGTGATAACAAAACAAAAGTGGATTATTGGCTCTCGAGCGCATAAACAATAGCATGTGGGCCTGTGTGTGCCTGGGCCTTTGTTTGTTTGCCCAGTGCAAAGCGTTTGAGAACACTCCATTCTCGGGGGTCTTAGCATAATGAGTACGAAGGCGCTAATGTAATCTCCCAAAGAACTCGCTGTTAGAATTAGCCTTGTTGATAAAAATGATAAGGCTGATTTACAGAGTGGTTAGTGTATAACACTAAAGTGTGCCATAATGTTGTCACAAAGTAGGGAAATTTTTCTAAGCGATTATAAAAGAAAACTGCTGGAAAAACCCTCAGCCGAGACAGCCACCTTTTCGAATTTCCACGTGCGCATGCCTGAGCGAGAGATTTTCCTGGCCAGACTTCGGCGGACATTCGGGACTTATCCTTTTGGCCAGCACGAGCGGTAGTCAGTCGGCCGGGAAGAAAGGCTTTCGGAGCGGCAGCGACGCCGGCAGAATAACGGTAAACGACCGGAGCGGTACGATGTGTTGACTATTTGTGAGGCGGACGAAGGCGCTTCGCTTTCAGTTTGAATTGTGTCCTCGTTAAGAAAGGATATTCGTTACATTGTTGTTAAGTTGTTATTATAATTTCTCAAACAAACCAACCAACCAACCAAAGCAATCCAAAAGCAAACCGAAAGCCAACTGCTCGCTAAAGAGAATTCAAAATAAAAACCGAAAAGTAAGAAAAAGCGAAAAAAGGAAATCTAGAAATCGCCGAAGTGAAATAAACGAAAGCCGAACAAACGAAAAACTAAATAAGAACTGAATGATGATAAAAAATATATAAAAAAAACAATAATATAAAATCTTAAAAAAACTTGGAGAAAATAAAAAATATATATTTATAAACAAGTTACATATTTATTTTTGATCAGCTGCTTTTAGTTTTTATTACTTTTTAGTGCCTTATGCTTAAGTGTTTGAAATAAGGTTTGGTTTGATTTGGAAAAAAAAGACTTTTGTTGCATAAACTTGCCAAGTGAGTTGGATTGAAAAGTGTGTGAATCGAATTGTGTGTGAATTATTGCCAAGATTTTTAGCATTCATTTTGAAGTTTTTTAAACTTTAGAAATACCTTTTTCCATAAAATCGATTCGAGTGAGGTTTTTTGGAAACGCTTAGCCCGTTTTGGGTTCCTTGGCTTCGTTGTCACATAGGCGAGCATCGATTTTGGCCATATTTACATAGCCAGCCACAACGCTTTTTGCGTGCATGTATTTTGTTGTGCCTGTTGTGTTTTTGGCCACATTATGTACAACTACAGGCGTCTGGCACTTCGGCTTGTGGGCCACATAAACCGACAACGAGCAGCCAATAAATGCTGCCGACTGGGTTCCTATATAAAAAGGACACTGCAGCTGTGTGTGATTCATACTCGCATTCTCATTCTCATTCTCCGGCAGCGGCAGACACACACCGAGAATGCTGTGTGTGCCGTATGTATTTTGTATTTTTGGTGTGGCCCCTGCACTCGTCCTGCTTTTCGCGAGTGCTTCCGTGTGTCCTGGCCTCTCCAAATAAACATAAAAATATAAGTTTATATTTATATTTATACATAGCATTTGTCTGTCCGTCCCAGTGTATCCGTCTCCGTGGGCGAGATATAAAAACCGGAAGCGTCTGATCCTGACACTTGCCAACACTTGGGGCGTACAGGGTGTCAGGACTCGCCTCGTTTGGGATGCCTTCTTTCGGGGACTGTCGTAAAACCCCAGCTCGGTTTCTTGTGCATGTTTTTTTGGCACTTGTATTCCGCTGCTTTTATTATTATTGTTATAATTTTTTTTTCGCCGCTGAGCTGCCTGAGCTGTCTGTTTCTGCTTTTGGCACTTAGACATTGCGTTACGCGCATAACTTTTTATTTTTTGTTGGCTCATGTTTCGCTTTGTATGCGTATGCGAGCACACAAATCGTAAAATATTAAATTTAATTTTTCAAATGATGTGTGAATGGCTTAGTCTTGATATATGATAATGGTTGTGCGCGGCGTCCATAAAAGCAGTCAGTTTTATTTACTTTTCTTATGGTTCGAAGGGCTTTGAACACACTAGCAGCAAGGCAAAGTTAATTATCCTTTTGTTTGTTTATGCTTATGATTTTCAGCTTGTGGATTATTTTTGTAAGATATTCCGCCAAGCCTAAACCAGAATATTGTGTTTTAATATTTCCATAGAAGTAAATACCAAGGGAATCCACTTGCCACAAGTGCTGGGGATTGAGCCTGGGAACATAATTCAAAAACCAAATGAACTTTTCGAAAACAAATTTCATTGGTCTGTGATAAGTGAAGGTCAAGCAAAGAGGAAATTTTTTATGAAAACTAAAAACCAACCACAAACAACACGAAGCGGAACAAACGTCAAGGAAAACCACAAAAAGGCAGCATTTTCCAAATTAGCAAAATTGTAGAAATTATTTAATGCATCAAAACGTTTGACCAAACAACAAGCAGCAGCAAAAGCAGCAGCAGCAACACAGTGCGGTTTCACACAAAAGGCGGCCATTAAAAAAACCAAAAAACCTAGCCAAATTATAACACAATTTATTTATATCATCAACTGCAAGGCGGCAGGCACTTCATTAAGCATCAAAGCGAGCTGCGTGCAACCGCAGAACGTGCAAATTCCGCACCGCAACAGAAGCACCACCACAGCACCACTGCACCACCAGCCGTAAAATGTTGGCCATGCCCACGCTGATGATGCCAGCCACCGCCCAGATGACGCTCAGCGCCGCCCACGGAAAGCCCTACGAGACAAAGCTGCTGGCCATCCACCAGACGCACCTGCAGCAGCAGCAGCAGCAACAGGCGCCCGCCCCGCAGCAGCAGCAAGTGCAGCAGCAGCAGCAACCCGGCAATGGCAAGCAGCAGCAGCAGCAGCAGATGACCATTGTCACCACCCAGCAGCAGCAGCAGCACCCACAGTCGCAGTCGCCGCACCAGCAGCAGCAGTCGCAGCAACAGGCCGCCGCAGCAGCCGCCGCTGCAGCCGCCGCAGCCCACCATCAGCAGCAGCAGGCGGTGGCCGCCGCCGTCTGTGCCGCCCAGCAGCAGGCGGTGGTGGTGCAGCAGCAGCAGCAGCAGCAGTACCAGATCCACTCGCAGCAGCAGTCGCCGCAGCAGCAGGTGCTCTGCATCTCGCCCAAGCAGGGTAAGCTTAAGAATCAGTCAACTACTCTTATATAAAGGGAGATATATCGTAATAAGGGAAAGGATTTCAATATCCTCAAATAGCAAAGACTCTAATATCTATTTAATACGCTTTTAAAGGGGTTCTATAGTTACACACAGAAATCATATTAAATCATACTTAAGCATTAAGTAGACTTTAATCAGTCCCAAAATAGATATCAGATATCAAAGGGGTTCTTTATTCAAAGACTAATCCTGTTTTTAAAGGACATAATCAGAATCAGAATCAGGTTCAATAAATTTAAATACCAAAGTACTTTTAAGTGGGTGTGTTCGATCAATAATATTTTATTCAAAAATTATTTAAATTATAATTTTCAAAATAGTTATTTGGGTAGTTCATAAGATATAAGAAATATTGAATTTGTATTAAAACATGATTATTACATTACAAATATATATCTATAAATCTCTTAAACACTTAAAAGTTCAAGAAACAAATACTTAAACTTCTTAACAAAACATTAGGAGGTATTAGAAATAATTTACTTCCTAGCACATATAATTTCACAAATTAATTTAATAATAGTTGTTATTATTTATGCTCCCTTTTCCCTTGTCGAATTCTTAAAAACCTCCCTCCATGATTTCTCAAGCTTATACCAACATTAACATTAGCGCTTCCTATGCGTAATTGTCATAATCGAAATGATGATGGGGCAGCTAATAAATTGGTGCCCCAGACTGGGGAACTCCTTTGACGATTCCCTGATGGATGAGTATTCCCCATCGAGGTGTGGGCTCGCTCCATTTGTTTACGAGGACCCCCAACACTTTGGGCACTTATCGATTGGCTTTTATTGCCTGCCTACGCCTACGGCCGTATTCGTAGTCCCAGTCCGAGTCGCAGGTCCTTACAAATTTCACGAGTTTTACGAGCAGTTCGGGCAGTTCAAGTAATGCTTTTTATGGTTTCGTCGTAAAAGTCGGCCAAGCCTCTAATAGCTGTCTAATGTTATTTGGCCTCAGAACGAGGCCCGCGTGTTTGACAAAGTTTACGTTTTCACTTAGCCTCTAAGAATAAAAACAGAAAGAGGAAAAACACCTATCCGTTTCACAATTATTGAACTGAAGGTGTCTGCCTTTGTTGATGTGCTAAATCAAATAGAAATCAATTTGAAATTATTGACAATTTCCACATTGGCATTGGCTCAGTCAATCGACTCGATTCGATTTTGATTTCGAGTTTCTTTCCCAAGTTTGCTGCCGTTGCTTTGCGGCAAATTTGTTTTTAAATTTGCCGAGTGTCTGCCGAAATTTTCAATTGAATTCGTTGTAAGATGCAGAAACAAATTGCCAAAAGCGAACGACACAAGAATGTGCAGGAAAGTTGTAAGCAAACAGACAAAGGCGCAATGTGCCAGCGTTGAATTTGGCTTATAAAGTGGCTCCCTTTTTTGTCGGAGTGTCGCAACCGGCAAATGTCGTCCTTTGTTAAGGACGACGGTAAGGACGTTGACTGATGCGTTGGCACAGCTGCCAAGTAGCCCCGCCATTGTTGTTCTCTCCCGTTTTTCGGGGTGGGCCAACTTTAAACAGGTGATCGATTTTTCTCTTTGTCACTTCGAAACTAGAGCTGGCCGAAACGAAAATTTAATAAAATGTGGCGGGCTGAAATTTAATCCGCTTGCAGGCGGCTTGCGACACCTATCACATATTAAATATGGCATATTTAAATTATAAAATAAAGAGAAATAAAATTGAGCGCGTAGAGCTGGCAGATTATGGCTGATTTTGAAGCCCATTTAGCAGCTCCCATAATGGAAATTATTTATATTATTTTATTTGCCATTTTTTTCCGGCTCTCTCTCAATTTGCATATTCATGTTCTAGCTATGGCCCACAGTTTTTGCTCTGCAATTGAATAAATAAGCATATTAAATGTTTACCCAGAGCCAACATTAATTTTTATTTAACTACAGCTTAAACTAAAGTCCACTTTAGGGTCTTTACGGACCTTGAATATATTGGAAAACACTATAAATTCCGCTGGAGAGAAGCCATTAAGAGCCTGTAATTAGGCTGATGAATTCAGAGCTCCGGTTCGGGTGGAAAAGCACCCTTAAAGTGGAAAATAAATTCAGTTCGGCGTCTGCTGCTGAGTTAATGCATTTTCCGCTTCCATAAGCAGACACAAAGAGCGATTCGTGTGCGAATGTCGAATGTCCTTCTACTGCTCCTTCCTAATGATAATGATGATGATGATGATGATGATGATGATGATGACGATTATTATTGGCAGCCAGTGGATTGCATGCCGAGTGCATTTTGTCAACCTGCTGCTCGCTGCTAACTCATCGCCCATTATCGTCATTATTGTGGCCGTTAAGTACGTTTGCCGCCATTATCCTGGTCTTCCTCCTCCAGCAGTTATTATGTTTTAAATATGCCAGCGACGTGCACCTTATATCTTGGGCATTTTTTCTGCCAGAACGCCTCGCCTGGCCGTTCCAGCTGCTCAATGGTTTTTAAAATTGAAAACTATATATCAATTGGCCTAGGCCAAGGGGATAGTTTGTCGGCTGGCAGTCTGGACCGGAGGCATGTCCTTTGTCTGGCTGGGTTTTCCCCCATTCCTCCCACTCCTCTTGTTGCTCTGCTCTGCGCTTTTCTTATGGGCTTTCATTTATTTGCTATTAACCTGTCATTGTTCATTTTTATTATTGTGCGGTTTTTATGCTCGCTTTTTGCGCTTTGTCCTCGCCACTTCCATTTGTTGTTGCAATCGTGTCTCGCGGCATTTTCCCGCTCGTGTGTGTGTGTGTGTGTGTGTGCAATAAATTGTTATTATCGCCGCGTTGCAGCATGTCGTCGTCGTCCTTTTGGAGGACTTTGCCTTGTCCTCCGCAGACCATGCAAAAGATTTATAACTTTTATTATTATTGAAGCTTATTTGCCGCTTTATCTGGCCACGCCCCCTGCCCTTCCCCCACCAACGACTTTGGTTCACAGCTCAGCCATAGTTTACGACTGGAAAATCAATCATACGCCATGTTTGACGCCGAGTCAAGCCAGCCGAGCATCACCTGCCAGTTTGGAGGAGATGGAGATGGAGATGGGGTCACATCCGAAGGAGACCCCTTTGTTTTCCTCGGTTGTCACCGTCGTTTGGTATTAATTTTTCACCGCCACCCGACACTCATTGATGTTGGCTGTCATTAATGTCTTTGCCCTGCTGTCCATTCGCTGTCCACTTTGGCAGCGACTTTGTCTGGCTGCAAGGAGGGTGCCGGAATGCAGCTCTTGGAAGAATCCCCAAAGGATGCACTGGGAAAAATTAAATACTAATTTATGACAATCTGAAGAAATTTTAAGGGGACATTATAAGGCTTAAACAAAATGGTTTTGTGTTTTTTAGTGGGTGTTTTGGGAAAACCTCTTTACATTTCCTTTAGAAAAATGGTAAAAAAAAGTAAAGAGACTTTCCATGTGGATCCTCCATTTAAGGAAAGGGTTTTTCCCCCTGTGGGAGCATTTACAATACAATATATGGCCTCTCATATAAGATGGAGTGGGAAATTCCCCTCGGGCTGGTCACTTAATTCAGTGGGAGGCGCAAGTGGGCCATGGATTAGTATGCCAAGTGACGTCCAGCGGCTGATGCCTTGTTATTAAGTGGACGCTGCAGTTCCACTTCCACATCTTGCAGCCCCTTGGACAGAGGGAAAAGTTTTTTACAAACGTCACTCCTGTCGAGCTCCCTGGCATTCCGCCTGATTTTCCCGTTTTCCTCATCGTCTTTCTGGGCTCCTTTGTTTTTGTTTTTTTTGCTAAATTCCAGCAAACAACAAAAGCAGCATAAGGCAGTTTGGACAGCCGGGATGAGCATACAACTACGTAGCTAATACTTTAGCAGCCGGATTAGGTTCAATTGGAGCGGGCGGAGGGATAAAGGGGGTAAGGGGGCGTAAAAAGAGAGACATCCTGGCTGTAAAAAAAAATCTCAAGCCCACTCACACACACACACACAAACACACATGCAACAAGGACAGAAAGAGAAAAGGCGGCAGGAATAAAAACTGTTGTAGCATGCATTAAAGTTTAAACGTTGGTAAATTCCTACAGCTTCCGCTTTGTTGGACTTCATGACAGTCACTGCGGGGACAATGGACCGCTTGACTGGACAAGGCCAGGTGGATTGGATGCGGGATGCGGATGAGGATGCGGATGGGGAGGTCCTGCGGTCCTGTGGTCCATCCAGGTGCGTCGGTGTGCGTGATGGGTGCAAATGAAAGGACGATTACAAAAATCGATCAAGTTGCCTTTGAGGGAGAAACAAGGCAGAAAGTCAAATATCGTGTAACAAGTTTGTCTCTTAAGCAGCAATTACGTTCTTTGGGATAGGGGGGAAATGGTAATTAGATTGATTTAAGGTCTTTTAATTTCTTTAATCAAAACAGAATGTTAATTGCATTTTGGGGAAGAAACATCTGGATCTGCTGTTTATCAAGTAATATTTTTAGATTAACATAAAATAAGGGATGGTTTTGCAATACAAAATTGAATGAATTTATTAATAATTTAATCATTTTTCTTGAGAGTTCTTATATTAAGGTTTTGTACTCAATACTTTTTGTATTTAAGGTATTGTATTACTTTACTCCATTCAACATCATTTACCGACTTTAGGAGCTTGTTTTCTATCGATTTTCGGAAGCCTTGCACGCAATATCCCAGCGCACGTTAGCTCTCGTTAAAGTCGGTTGTTTGAGTCTGCCAAAAAGCACATAAAACGTGAATACTTTTCCCAGAAGCACTGCATACTTTTGTGCGCTGCGGTCGCAGATAAAAATGTTTGGCGGGGCATCATAACACGCACATGCACATATGGTGCATGCCATTGTGTTTGTTATCCTGCGGGCACAGCGTATACAGTCACATCCACATCCCTGCACTCGTAATTTCGCAATCGTCAATCATGATCAATGTTTTATACACAGCATTTTAAATGTCAGCCAG